TATAGTGTAGAATTATTGTAATTGCCTAATATAAAGTGTAATTGTTGCATTCAGATTACATACTATGAACTGACAAAGGTTTTTGTTATTGGAACCCCTGCAGAAAAATTTTCATGCATGAAACCGGTCCCTGGTACAAAAAAGGTTGGGGGCCGCTGCTCTAAGATGCAACCAGAAAAACAACACAAGCACAACTCAGTACAGTACATGGCATTACTAGGGTGTGTAGATGTGAATCTAATATTTTTTGATGTTTTAAATCTGCTCCTGAGCCAAAAAACATGATGTGTAAACTGGAAAGTGTTTTTGTCCTGAACACAAACAGGCACAGGTGAAAAATGTAACTGAAATCAGTACACACATTTTAAACAATTTCTCTTATACTGCAGTGCTAAGAAGCCATTTGCTGTAGGCTACTGCCCATGTGGACATAAATGTATTAAAAACACTACTGACTAGTAAGTAAATTAGTTACTGCAAACCCTTTAAAGGCTTAATTTATTCCGAAGTACCTGAATCAAGCTAATCTCAGTGTCCATATTTACTCATGTTTAGTTGACCAAAATAAAAATGCTCCATTTTACATTTGCACCTGGCCCATTTATCTTTTCTCTCTTTTTTGCCTGAAATGCAAATAGCTGCTGTAGTTCCCCCATAGTTAAAGTAGGGTACCTTTAACAAAAACGACTTTATTATAAATCAAACTGACCTTTACTTGTTAACTTTAAACATCAACTTTCAACCTGTCAAAATGCACATTACGACTGTACCTATATTTAGACCATCTACTAACTGAATTTATCATGATACTAATTGTGTCAATACCTCAGTGGATTATCATCTCAGCTAAACAAGTTTTTGGTGGAAAACCTGGACAAATGTAAGCATATATGAATGGTTTAATAGTTTCATCAAGATGAAACGCACAACATTTTTGGGTACACATCAGTGTAGGCTCTTCGATTTTCTGATGGGACACTGCTCATGTCTTTTTTTTTTTTTTTTAATAGTTAACTGTTAAAAAAAAATCTACAAATTAACAATGACAATTAATTTCAGCTATAGTTACATATGTGAAAAATGAGGTGATGACAATATCTTCTAAGACAACCACTCAGTGACTGTTTATTTCTGATGAAGAACTAATAAGAGAGGTTTGTCCTATTAGGCAACAATTCCTACAAACAGGAGCACACTCACTTCCAAGGAGGTGGTTGTTATGTTCCTTGACAGGTTCTGGGTAGCCTGCGCCACAACACTGAGTTCGAGCTGGGCTGCAATTTCTCTTAGTTCTTCTGCAACCTGCTGAATGACTGCTCCTTCATGGTTTCCTACAGAAAGTCAAGATTAACAAAACTTCAGTACAATGCACTCAACATAATGTTTAATGTTTCTGGATTCAACTACTAGTGCAGTGGAATAGCATTTCTACAAATGAATATACAGCAACAACTTTATGTTCACACCAAGGATTGAAGCTGTCACTTCTGCTTTCAGTTTTAGTCACAAGCAGTTTTGTTAGTTAAACTTATCAGATGTGCAAGTCAATGCTCTGACATCTGGACTGTGAAAAGGCATGTTAAACTACAAATTTGTCTTTGCCTGTTACCTCAGATTATGTTTACAATGGTTTATTTTTGACACATCTTTGCTTTGTGAACAATCAGCTCATAAGACCGTTTGCAGTGATAGTATGAAACCAACACTGTAACACTACCTGTAAAACTAAGATAATACTGATCCAGTTTAAAGTTACTGACTCAGTTACTCACTAGGCCACAGCAGCTCAACTGCAGGCCGAATATCATCTAGAGAGACCGCAATGCAGCTGGGCAGGTGACCATCAGTTTCAAGGTCTCCGTCGTCCACATCCTGTATTCTGGGGTCGCTGCACGGCACTTCCCGGGTGATATTTAGGTCACGGCCCAAGGAATGAAGCTCCTTGTCGTAATCTGCGTTTCTACAGTCCGCTTGAAGGAAGTCCAAAATGACCAGTGCGGTGTTTTGCCCACCGGGTAGATTCATCAGGTCTTCCATCGATAACCACTCTCTGCCTTTACACATTTAAACAAGAACAATGTTAGCGATGCTCGCCTAATATCGCATGTCAACAATTTCGGACACTCGATGAAGCGATGAAACAACTGGTCAACCTACTCAAATAGTCGAATCAATGAGAAAAGTTACTGAATTAGTACACATTTCAAATAAGGATATGTAATGTTAAATGTTCCTAACTTCTGTCAATCAAAACTATGAACCATGTGGACTAAAATAACCTCTCACTAATTTACGTTAACGAAATTAGCGTTTCTGACAAGTACATTTTTAACGGGTAAAATAAACTGACAAATGTTAGCGTAGTGCTAACGATACTTAGCTAGCTTACGTTAACTAACGTTCACTAGCTTCTGCGCATAAAATTAGCGTTAAGCAAAAGCAAAACTGGTGACTATAGCTAAATAAGGATTCAGTTTACTCACAATCGTTTCGTATGTTAGCTTCTAACGGCAAACGAGCAACGGAACCTGCTCAGCGATGTGCCCATTGAGTATCTATGGTTGAATAACGAGTCCTAGGCTGACAAGCAAAACAATAATTAGCATTGGTCTTTAACTTAGGGTAAGTCACGGGTGAAGGGGTGGAGTCATGTCTCATGGTGCTATGTGTCATGGTGCTTTTAATGCCGTCGGAAAGCCGCCAAAACACGAAATCCATGTCAATGCCTTTGGTTTTTGTACTTGCATTTTAGCAATTTTTAATTTATTAAGCAAACTGAAATGGAAATGTGACTGATAGTTGTGTCACTTTAGGTAACGTTAAGTGTGGGTGTTTAAAAGGCAAAATTACTACTAAAATATACACAAACGCAGCAGTAAGGACTACATCACCTGACCTAAAGTAGTAAAAACTAGAATGTAATGTTTTACACGTATGGGTGTCTTAAGATGTTTATATTTTTAAAATGCAGATGTACTTCCTGTATGTATTCCTAGTCGCAGTTTTACACCGTCATACAGTTTATTACAGGCAGAGATAAGAGAAACACGCAGCTGGAAAGTCCCGGCTTTGGCTTTATCCAGCAGGGTTGTACTTTTTTGTTTACACAGAACATTACCCACACAAGTTAAAGAGAATACTTTAGAGCTAAAAACAAATTAGAACAAAAGAAATCCATTAGATAAAATGCTAAAAATGTTTATTTACAGTATAAAAATAAAACAAACATCTTTGACCAGTTATGTTTGTCAACAGCAGTTGAAAGACTGAAATTATCATTTGAAACATTTAAAACTAATTCTGTCCAAAGCTCTCCAGTCTGTTACATCAGTCCACTCAGAAGCCCCACACAAGATCACCCAGCCAATCATTCTTAGTACCAGCGCTGTGTAGGGTTATATCTGTGTTATCATAGAAACTTGCTGCTTTTTAATTACAACATTGTTGCGGAAGGGGTCAGATTATGCAGAACAAAGAACAGGCATGTGGTTTTCACTCTGGTCCATCAAATTCCATGCCCGGGGCAACCAAAGCTCATGGATCGTGCCGTCTTCCTACCCACAAGCCTCCTCCCTGTTCTAGGAAGAGACCCTATCTTAGTAGGTGGTTTCAGCCCACATAGGAGGTTCTGCTTTGGTGACAAAGCTGCCTGACGCGCCTCCTGTAGCTCTCTGTGGAGAAGAAGATGAACATGTGTGAATGCTTTTTAATGGGTATATCAATAATGTGTATGAAAAGGACATAAATATGTGCTGCCATTGGGCTGTTTTAATTAGCTATGAAATTCCGCCACCTGCTGGTCATACTTATGTAATTCAGTGTAATAACAGAGCCTCAGCTATGGAATGTCCCCTTAGTTTCTGGATTTCCATACTTCCCTATCTGTGAAACGGTACTGCACCACACCATGTAAGGGATTTGGAAGTATGGAAATCCAGAAACTATCTGTGAAACAGTACTGCACCACACCATGTAAGGGATTTACCACAAAAATATTTCTATGCAAAAAGAGCAAAGATGATTGATAGCTTGTTGCACTTAACATTTAGTGGTATATAAACTCTATAAACCTTGTTCTGGGAGTCAATCCTAACACTGTAGTTCTTAGAAACAGCCTATGCCGCTTGAGAACACTAGGTTTATGTGAGATGAAACCCAGAATTAGGGATGCACCCTTACCTTTCTAGCATGGCTGTTCTGAATTTTTCCACATTGAGTTCTCTGCGTAGCTGAGCAGCCAGCCTTCCAGACCTCTCCTCCCGCAAGACTGGGTGCTTGCAAAGCTCCCTGGCAGATGGTCGTTTTATTGGGTCTGGATCCAGCATCAACTGACGGAGAAAACATTTTCAACAAGCAAATTGAAATGCTTGTTGTTACGCAAAAGTTGTCATTCACACATGTGGCAGCTCAAAAATCAATTATCTTTATTTCTGTTCGAGTACCTGAAGGAGGCCTTTGAAGGGAGGAGAGAGCTCCTGTGGGAGCTTGGGAAGCTGCCCTTGTCTAAGGCTGTGCCACTCATCTCCATTTTGAGGCAGAGGAGGAGCTCCAGCTGCCAACAGTACTGTAAGGCCAAGAGCGAAGATGTCTGCCTTTGGGAGGTGGCTGTAATCCTGGGGAGCAGAGAAAAGTGAAATGAACACTAGACACAATGCAAACCCATTTTTCCATTTAAACCTACAGGGAGGTGCAACCAACTCAGATCTCAAAGACTATTTTCCTTTAACACCAATAATTACACAACATTTTTACCTCATGCAGAACCTCACTGGCCAGAAAGCGGCTGTCTCCTTCCTCAACCTGAGGACTGGTGGTGGATGTCACATGACCCAGATCCCCTGCAGAAAACAGCAAGAATAGGATTTGACAGCAAACAAACATTTATGATAGACATCTGTTCAACATCAACTATGATACCAATTTTGTAAAGGACGCCTGCTGAAGTGCTTCCATCATCTTCCTCCTCACTTTCCACCTCTGCACTTGAACTGGGACGTTGACAAATGAAAATATTACCTGAAGAGAGGCCAAACAAAGTCAGCTTTAAGGGACAGTATGGTTAAACTGAGCAAAAACAAGAAACACAAACGCTCAGTGAGACATACTTGGTTTGATGTCCAGGTGTACAAGGCCAGAGGTATGGATATATTTTAGGCCCATTGACACCTGTAACAGCAGATCTTTCAATTCTGCCTCTGCAAACAGCTCACCCTGCACATCCTTCTTCATAATGGCATCACTGAGACTTCCACCTGGTGCATGCGTGCACGGGCACACACACACACGCGCGCACACAGGATGACAAAATGCATAATTCATGTCTTAGTTAAAAATATTTTGGATTAATTCATCTTGTGTGATTTGGACATGAATCTGAAACCTACGATCACAGTATTCATTCTGGATAATCATGTGATTGTCCTCTGCCCATGCTGAATAATAGCGAACAACATGTGGGTGGTGCCCAAGAACAGCATGTGCATACACTTCCTTTAGTGCCAGCTGCCTGAGAGGACATAAGAAAGGGTCATGTACAAGTGTGATCAGTTCAGATTAAAAAAACAAAACAAAACAGACTAATCTGGGTCTGGCAGAAAGCAACATAATGCTGACTCACTCATTGGCAGAGCCTGCGAGCGGTTGTCGTGAGCGTTTTATGGCATATAAGCAACCATCCAGCCTTTTCACACATTTATAAACTGCCCCAAACTCGCCCACACCAATGCACTCCAGCTCCAGAAACTCACTCTCATAGCGCGAGAGCATGAATGCTTGGACAGCTCGCCTCTGCCAGATAAACAGACGGAGAACCGTGTGGTTAAATCAAAGACATTTCTAAAGGAGGAACATGCGTCACAGATGTGTCACCAAATATGGGAGTGCTTCCACATGGAAAGTGCTTTGTGAAAATTATGACAGCTCTTTTTCCGCCCCTACTGGAGATTCCTTAGAGAAATCCCGGAAGTAAGAGTGGCAGCATATAATTTTGGACAAAACAAGAAGTGAGGAGGCAGCTGACAATGACAAATCCTGATGTAATCATATTAGAAGCATCTGAGAGGGAGGGTTACGTTCATCAAACGCACTGGTAAAAATAGCTGTACCTTTGGTGGGAGAAAGGCTTCATCATCCTCTTCAGATGATGTCAGGCTGTGTTTCAACCTGAAAAATATAAAAGGGCCTTTAGACCTTTATATACTCTGAACAACACTGCATTAGTAAGGGCACTAAACACAAATTGTTTTGATCTCCCAACATGTAATAAAGCCAATTTCACCCTCAGACCATGTAGAAAATCTACCTGTCAACAAAAAAAAAAATGACAAGCATTTATTAAAAATGTAGCTCTTATTGTGACACCCACACCACAACACAAATGGACAAATGTTCCTGTCAACCACAAAGTTCTAAATAACAAAATTTCCCCAAACACCAGTAATCATCATCCGATTAAAAACACTAGCGTTTTCAAAACCTAACCCTTATAGTTCTGCAGTATCACAAGCAGTAGTTACCCGTTTCCATATTCGTCGTCATCGTCGCTCCTACAGCTGTTCCTCCACTGCTGCTCACTGTTCCTGTGTACTGTGTCAGGGGTGAAAGGATTGACGTTGACAGAAGGTGCCTGGATGAGGTCTGGGCCAAATGAGGCAAAATGCAAGGTTCTCTGATGACGACTTATCTTAGCACCGGAGCAAGACTGGGATGACTTGCATAGCAGACTCTACAGGAGAAAAGAGAAGAATTCAATTCACCCTGTTGAAGTTAAACTGGTTTGACATTCAAGCTTCACTTTGCCAAATCACCCAAGAGCACAGGGCCACGCTAAGGACAGTCATTCTGAGTTATTCCCCACCTTGGGTGTGCTGGGAGAGTCACAGAGCCTCAGTTTCCTCCAGGAAACTGAAGGTATGGGGCTGGTGCACTGTAAAGGGCAAGAGAAGGTGCTGCTTCTGCTGCGGTTCTGCTGCACCCTGGGCGTCGTACATGTAGAGCTTGGACTGCGGATTCTGGAGGTGCAGTCATCGGAGCTGTTGTCGCTACTGCCCCCCTCCTCTCCCTGGAGTGTCTCTGGACACTCTCCCCTCCCAGGCAGGTCAATGCACAACTAGAGAAGTCCAGCTGCTGGCTGATATCGTCAAACAGCACTGCCATGCTTGGGGCCTGAAGTTTGGCAGTGCTTTCTATTAAATGTTGAATCCTGCATTTCACACTCCTTTGAGAGCAAGAATACTACAATGTTTTAAGATTATTAGGCCTACATTTATGTCTCTTCAGGAGGATAAGAAGATAAAAACACATATGTTGCTAGTCATACTCTCTTAATCTGCACATCTAGACATAGGTCACTGCCACAGCTGACTGTAGACTTCATTATCACAGGACAAGCCCCATAACCTAATTTGCCTGTATTGATTTCCAAAGCCCTTCTGCCAACCAGATCAGGAGGACAACTGAAAAGCAGAGGTCACGTCAAGCTGTGGTGTCATTCCCACACTTATCTGAACGTTAATGTGAGTCTCACAAATGCAGCCTATACACCAAGGTGTGATTTAACTTTGAGCAACAATGTATATTAACCATGTATACTCACGAACAAGTCGCCTTCCGCCGCTCCGCCACCACGCTTGAATTTCGCGCCTTGTATGTAAAACACTTCCTGTTTAAATTAACTATGACCCCGGTTTAGCACATCTACCTTTCAATTGGCTGAATTGTTCATAAACCACACACCTGACCTTAAAGTGACCTTTAATTGCATACAGAGTTTTCATAACAATGTGATAATCTATTTATGGGATGTTATATGTAAATACCGCGAGATTATCACGGGAAAGAAGAAAACTATAAACTCACATTAAAATACAATTAATTAATACGAAAATGCCACGAACGGTCATGAGATAGTCATTTTACAGAGATTACTGAGTAAAACACGGGCACGGTGGTTAAATCTCTGTATGGATGTTGGAATAATATGTAGGCTATGGGTAATAAAATCAACAGCCCACACTACGGTTCAGGTCACCGTATGAAATTGTAGTCATAGACACGTGGGCGGAAGTTAGCGACGTCATCAAAACAGTAAGACAGAAGGAGAAAACGCAGCTCGTCACGAACAGAAAACAAGCCAGTGAGCAACAGGAAATCATGATCCGGCTCCAGCAGCGTGTTTAGCCTGCTCTGACCAACGGGACATCGGACTTTCTGTGTTGTGTTTCTCCCTTTCAAAGCCCCCCAAGGCAGCAGCGCCATGGTGGAGCAGTCGGATCGAGCCCCGCTGCTGGACTGGGAGGAGATCCCGCCGCCCGATCCAAACCAGGCGGCCCCACTGCCGCCTCCGCCGCCGCCGCCGCCGCGGGAGGAAGACGCAACGACGGAGAAAAGTTCGCAGGAGCGGCGCACACCGACGGGCACTGTGGCTGTCACCGTCAGCACCACCACCACCACCACCTGCACCCCAGCGAGGAGTCTAACAGCTGTTGTTGCCATCAAGGATGGCAGCCCGGGCCGTCCGCGAACAGTGCTCAGTGGGCACGGGTGGAATCTCGATCCAGGTCGTAGTGTTCCCTTCCCCGGCCTCTCGGCGAGGGATCAGTGGGAGGAAAGAGACCAGATCGTGGCTGTGTTTGTGGTTACATTTGATACGAGATCAGGTAAGCAAGCAGACTGTGGCAAGAGCATCCGATGGTTTATTTGTTTCTTTTTAATATTCTGGACTAGATAACCACCTGTAGATTTTGATGGGGCAACAACCCTAACAGAATAAATGCACTTCCTTGGTAAGGTTTTCTCAGTTTACGCAATCTGTCAAGCACACTGAAGTTGAGTAACTGAACACCAAGCGGCTGTAAAGGGGGATCTATCCTTTAATGCATCACCATGATGAAACAGGTTAAAACGGCACAAGGCCAGGGTGTCATTTCAAATATGGAAGAGGTCAGTGATGCTGATGCGGTACTTTCTCCCTGTCTCTACAAGACAAACAGAATTAGAGGAAGTGGTCAGGATGAAAGTGGACTATATGGGAAGTAACTTCATGGTTTATTGTGTGTGTGCCTGTGTGTTCCCACGAATGGCAGGCAATATGGTAGAGTGGTGCCTGCCTCATGACATCAACCTAGAAGGAGTTGAATTCAAGTCAATGGCCAGTGGTTCCCATCGGATCACCAGTGACTTTATGTACGTTCTCTCACTTGCCAGACACCATGAAATTCTGTTTCTTAAGGGGAGTGGGTCTGTTCAACCTCTGCCAAAAATCTGTGAACCCCTTATTTATTCCTTCTCTTTGTTTTGCTTTTGGCTAGATATTTCCGTAAAGACTGTTACTTTGGGCTGGCCTGTTTTGCTAACATGCCTGTGGAGAGTGAGCTGGAGCGAGGAGCAAGGATGAAGTCTGTGGGAATTCTGTCTCCCTCCTACACTCTGCTTTACCGCTACATGCACTTCCTAGAGAACCAAGTCAGGTAACACATGCTGGCTCTGTTTGTGTCCGTTACCTTCTTGTCTTATTTTTTCCCCTCATTTTGTCACTTTTCCACCACACTGTTTGGATTTTCAGTTCTCACCAAACTGTGTCTACCTCCTGTCTATAATTCTTTTCTTTGTTAAAAATGATCTCATCTATTGTACATGAACCTAGAGTCCCAGTTAAAGCTTTCATCACAGGAGCCCATGCACTTTTTTGTATGAAGTCTATGACTGTGTAAGATTATGTATGAATATGTCACACAGCCACAGTTTTGCATTCCAAATGCAGGGGGTTTGGGCTACTGCCACATAAAAGAACTAAACTAAATGGAGTGTGATTAACTAGCTTAGTTTATGTGTGGTTGTTGTGCCTCACTCTGCAGTAGCACACAGTAGTTGACGTTTAACCAAATGAAAATGAAGCATTTATATAATGCAAATTTGGAATCTTACATAATAACCTAAATCGAGTCTGATACTACATGTGTAATTCTTTTAGACAGACTTTCCTTTACAATATACAAATATTTAATGGGTGTAGATGCAAACTACAGTGCTAAAGCTACTCTGCATCAGTACCTTGTGTGAACCTTGTGAGCTTTCATGGTAAATCATTAATACGCTGAAACTGATAAGTGTATACACATTTAAAATAACCAGTTCTTCTGTCTTCTTTCTTCCTGTCATTGCCTTGCAGGCACCAGTTGCAGTGTCCAGGTCAGTATTCGCCACTGGAGGCCTTCTATGAGGATAAGAAGGCTATACTCCCAGCTACAGGAAACGGACATGTCACTGCTTGTCCGTCCTGGAGTGTTACCAATATCAACCGCTGCATGCACCCTGAAATGAAGGTACAAAAGCAGCAGACACACACTCAGATTGATGGCAAAAACATATTTGCTCAGGCTTAAGTGCCATAACAACATCAATAAAGCATAGGTGTTTCTCTATGCAGATCACCCACCCTGCTGGCTGCATGTCCCAGTTCATCCAGTTTTTCGGAGAGCAGATAATGGTCCTATGGAAGTTTGCACTGCTTAGGAAACGTCTCCTGATTTTCTCACCTCCACCTGTAGGTGTGGTCTGCTACAGGGGTGAGAAGCAAAAACACACGTTTGCACATGCACTTGCCTGTAATCTGGTGGTTGTAACACAGATCCTGTCCTTGTTTTTTCTTTAACACAAATGGCTCAGGATGTAACAAATATGGGAAATGTTGCAGCACCTTTGTTTTCTATCTCCATGGAAATGCTTGATGTAGTGTGCACTTGTCCTCCCTCAGTGTATTGCTGTTGCTGCCTGGCCAATGTGTCACTACCTGGAATCGGTGTCTCTGTGCCTGAATTACGGCCTTTCTTCTACATCAACATAGCTGACATCAGTGCCCTGGAAACAGAGCTGTCCTACGTGGCCTGTGAGTGAAACTTTACTGTGAACGGGTTAACTCACCAACATTTGTTATCTATGCAGATGTTTCATCATATATGAGCATACTTTCATATGTTTTAAGGCACCACGGAGAAGATTTTTGAGGACAAGAAGGACCTGTATGATGTGTACATCGATAACCAGAATGTGAAAACACACAGAAGCCATTTGCAGCCGCTGCTCCGACTGAATGCAGCAGATAAGGAGAAGTACAGGAAACTGAGTGAACAGAGGTATGCTCCGACCTTTAAAATGGGGCTAATACAGCATACAAAATCTAAGGGACTGAGTCATCTAGATGTATAATGAGGCCCCTACTTTGAAAGTTACACATAGTTGTCAGTCTCTAGATTCCAAGATTATGTGGAAAACGTGTCCCAAAGGATGTTTCCAATGTGGAAGATCCAACCACTGTAGAATCATCAAATAGACTAAAGCTGATGTTTTACCAACAAGATAAAAGTTATGCTTTGCAGGACTAAACGGAAGCTTAACTAGAGAATTTCTGAACATAAATATGCCATAAAAGTTGGCAATGAGCCAGTCATTACAAAACTACACATGCTGATAACCCTGGTTATAGTCGAGTAGTTTGTATTGAGGTCGCACAGAGGGAGAGACAGATTTAAGAAGTTACTTCAGAGAGAAACACAAAATTAACAACAATAGATTTTACTTAAGTTTTATATATGTAATGTATAGATTGTGTTTGTGGCTGTGAGGTGGCCTTGGTATAATTTGCTCTGACGTCTCCTTGCATTTGGTATTTTTTGTTGTTTACATAGCCTTCCTGATTTCTATACATTTTCTTTACATTTCATTGTGAAGACAGTCTGCATTAGGTAAATGCACTTTTTGAGACTGATGAAATAGCAGAATGTTTCTTGTAAACTAAACTGTGTACACGATTTTAACTTAGTTTGTGGAAATTGGATTCATTTTATTCACATAAATCATTAAAACATTTCAAAATCTATTTTGCTGATCTAGACATATTCTAGAATGTGATAGTTACACCCTAATAGTTTTAAAAATGTATTTGTTTTGCTATTTAAAAAAGTGGATCCCATTTTGGATGTTGTAAATCATTAACCTTTTACCAGCCAAATTATATCTTTGAGGCTCCAGTCGTTTAGATTTCTTAATGTAGATGATAATTTTCTTTTTCCAGGCAAATGTTGCTGTACTCTCAGGAGGTGGATGGAGACTGCACATCAAATGAAGAGGATCTTTTCATTCTGTGAGTGCTGCTAATGCACTTTAGTCATACTCAAACAAAGCAAGTGTGCAATATTACTTTTACTTTTATTTTTCAGGGACTACAGTATGGTTTCCATAGTTATTTTAATGTATATATTGAGGCGGCGGTCTGTTATCCTGTCCTAGATTCTTCATGGAGCTGAATAACCGCATCTTCCAGACCCTGTCAGAGGTAGCAGGGAGCAACGATCCCACCCTCACCACTGAGCACGTGAGAGCCATGGGGCTGGATCCTCAGGGTGATCGCTCCTTCCTGGTCGACCTGCTGGAGGTGTACGGTTTCGACGTCACGCTGGTCATAGACAGCCTCTGTTGTTCTTGAGCCTGGAACTCGGGGTGCCACTGGATTATCTGTGCCTTCAAGGCCCACACACACCTAAGACACTAAAGACACTGCCTCCACCCAGGGGCTTCATCTGTTTCCTGCTGTCCCCTCCTGGGTGTCCGTTTCCCCCTCTGTGTGTCTCATCTGACCCGTGGAGACCGTTTCCCACTAGTGTGGGTGATGAAGACGTTTCCTGTTGATGCAGGAGTCCACAGTGGCAATCAGATGGTGCCACTTGGCAGCTGCGTGCTCTTAATAGCCATTCACCTGTGTCACTACTGTGCTATTTTTTGTCAGAAGCATTTTCTTGTTTACTGTATGCTTGTCTGTACAGTCCTGCAGCTTTGCTGGTCACTGTACAGTTTGGAAACGAACTAGAGATACGAAAGTCTTCAAAACGTCTGCTGTATTAACATGCGTAGGTGTTCAAATTATATCCTGCTCTCATAAAGCTATTTCTGGAGTTGGAGAAATGGAAGTTTATTGACCACTTTATTTGCCTTTCAAAAAGAAAGCAATAGCAGTACATGTTGAATCAGCTTGAAGTGAGGTAAAATGATTTACAGTGCTATGAAAAAGTATGTGCCCCCTTCTTGGTTTCTTTTTTTTTTGTGCATATTTATCACAAACAAATTTAGATATTAGACAAAGCAAACACAAAATGATTTTATTTATTAATGGAAAAAATCTATCTGAACCTACATGGTCCTACGGGGGGGAGATTACGTTTTCACATAGGGCCAAGTAGGTTCAGATTTTTTCCCTAAATAAATACAATCATCACCTAAAAACTGCATTTTGTGTTTACTTGGGTTATCTTTGTCTATTATTTACATTTGTTAGATGATCTGAAACATTTAAGTGTGACAAATATGCAAAAAGAAAAAAAAAAAAGCAACCAGGAATGGGGAACATACTTTTTCACAGCACTGTATATGTTAAAGAGTGTGATATCCTTTTATAATGGGGACAGGTTTGGTCCTTTTACACACCTTCAACACAAGGTACAGTGCAAGTGACGGGGGAAGGAGTCTGGAAAATGTTGTTGTAACTGTCGATCAATGTGACTCTAATACTAATCATGAATGCTGCACCACTGGACTGTTCTCAGATGCACACAGTGATCATGCTTAACTATAATGTTTTCTATGCCATGTTTATGATCTACAGTCTGAGCCAGCAAGTGAAAATGTTGCAATACTGTATATATTTCATTTTATTTTACTCACCATAGCCAGTTCATCAGCACAAGCTTAACATATAGTATCTCTTGTGCTCCCGTTGAATGACGTGTCCTCAGCGGAGCTGTTTCCTGTTTACTTGTGGATCAGCTTTAAACAAGATTCTCTCCACTTGTCTATGTCCATGACAGAGATCTCATTGTGTTCATGTAGATCTGGTAATGACACATTCAGGGGTGAGCAGAGGCTTCTAGTCCTCCTCTATAGGCAGATTTACAAAATGTACCGTCTGTTCCAGCTGAGGGTTCCTCTGGCCGTCTTTTCATCACAGTCCCATCGAGTTAATCCAGCTCCAGAGATGGGCCAACTGTGTCTTTTGAATTCTTTTGTCAGACCAGTTTAGTTCATCCATCACGTTGCCAATCACAGTAATCACTTGTTCTATGTTGGACCCCACGCCCCCGAAGTTGTTTTCTTGGTTGGTTACAAAAATAAAGACAGTGAACCAACTGTTTTATGTGAAAGAAATAGAGACTCAAGCTTTGTTGGTTCAGTGGGGCCTTAAGGAAATCTTATTTCTCAAACTTACTGTACGCACGTCATCACTATGTGCTTAAAGATTAAGTAAACATTTCTGAATAACCTCATCGTCTCCAACAGAAACCGCTGACTCAACTGACGTGTCAGCAGACGTCTTTTGCCTGTGACGGTGTTTGCTTTACAGGTTCATGTTAATTGTAAAACAGAATGTACAGTACAACACACAACACACTTTATATTCATGATGCATACCAACATTAGATCAACTGTTTGTGCAGCGTGTCACTCTACTGAATGTCAAAAACAGCTAAAGTATTGCACACATCCAAATAACAAGTCTTCACCTTTACTAATGTGAAACACTTTAAGGAATGTCAGTGATGTACACACAAACTCAACAGCATGAACAGTTAATTTCACTGTACGGCCAGTGTGAAACAATAAAATGTTGCTACTGGTCAAGTGTTATGTAATCTGCTGCCTTATCCTTTGTTCTTGTCCTCTGCTTACACCTCTGGTTCATTTCTGACCAGGGTCGCTGCTTTCTAAGACATCTTACGAGCAAAGCAACTTGCAAGACACACTGGACAGAGCAGAGCTGTTTTCCAGCCCTGCAAGTAGTATTTAGAGAGGTTTTAGTAAAAGCATCACTGTGTGGGGTATTGTATCAAGAGTAAATGTTTACATTAGAGAAATGGGCCGACTATGATCATACTATTCTATATTTTATTACTGACATTTTGTGTGACATCATCCAGGTATTTTTCTCCACTTGGACTTTGGACAAACCTTTTCACAGATTATATGCATTACAAACTGGAAGACTGAAGTTTGAAAGAAGTGACTATTTAGGGAGTTAAGTAGGGTCTAATTAAATTTACATTTTGGGAAATGTAGGCACTAGCATTCTTGGAGCTTGACTTATACTAGTAACAAGGGTAAGATATCTCTGCCTCTGCTGTACCAATTTTAAAAATTTGGTCTCCAACTATATGGAAGAGCAGAACAAAATTACTGGAGTTTCCTTGTAATCTGTACACTACCAATCAAAAGTTTGGACGCACTTTCCCATTGATACGAATGGGAAAGTGTGTCCACATTTTTGACTGGCAGTGTAAAAATGCATCATATGTATAATAGAAAATAAGCTCATCTTTACATGAAAAATCTAGTGACCTTTCACTGCAGATGAGGCCTAAAGTAGAATATGCAGTAATGGTAAAATACAAGTAGCTCAAAATTGTACAGTACACATATGTAGTTACATCCATTCCACCACTGCCATTCCCCTACAAGACAGAGACCTGCAAGATAATATAATATTTATTTTTGGACTAGGTGTCCTTTTTCTGGTTTTTAACTCTTTACTTGACTTCAAGAGCCCTGCACAAGAATTCCTATATGCCTAGACTGTCTGTTTATGCATAAATGGCAAATAAAAAAATCTTGAATCTATAACCCCCAACGTACTCCTGCAGATTTGCTGTCTACACCATGTGTCAGATCAGGCTGCTGTACACTGCAGCACACACTAAATGACTGGTATAATGACGCTTTGCACTGAATTGGATGTAGATTATTTTTACTGATCAAGTTTGAATGTGATGGCAACGGCAAACCATTCAGTAAACATACAGTCTGTTTGAAAGGCAAGCAGTACATAGGTTAAAGTCTTTAAAACATAAAGCCTTGGTCCATTTATATACAGCGCTATGTAATTTAAGCCATTTCATAGTTGTTAAAATAAACACTAGAAGTTATTTTTATGATCAAATGCAGTGAGACAGACTGCTCAAACCAACGGCCCTTCATGGTCATTTAAGATGGCTGGTAAAGTCGATATCCGTCATAGCATCTGGTCCTTTTGCGTCTGGCTTGAAGTCAGTTTTTGTCCTGCTGTTCTTCTTTTCTTTCTGGTTTATGTTGTCTCATCACTGCATCTGTGAGAGGAACTGATCTCTGCGCTCTGCAGTCATGAAGAAGCGCAATTTCCGTGGTAAGAGCCTTACCTCCACAGGCATGGCCTCATACTCCTCGTTGTCAATGTTGTAGAAGCCGCTGGTGCCCTGTGGAGTGTTAAAAGTGAAGACAGAATCTAGTACACAGAGCTTTAGAAAGCAGATTGACTAATATAATCTCAGTCCTAATGCTAGGCTTGAATTACTGTAATGTGACACCATGAATTATGATCAAATTGTCTGAGTCTGACCTCTGGCAGCTCCAGCCGGCAAGCATTGGCTTCCAGTTTTGTAGAGTTGTTAGTGAATACAGTTGGGTCCTCTCTTTTTTTATTTCTATAATGAAGAACATTTCCATCCTTTTACTTTAATTAAGGTAAACATGAACTTTTTTCTTTGCCACAGTCTAATACAATATTGAAAGTACAGCTGACCCGACAGTGATGAACTCGCCCACGGTGAAGTTGTTAGTCTCTGCACAGATCATCATTGAGTCATTTATGTGCTGCAAGTAAATAAATAGAAAAATAAATCAAAAATCAAATAGAAAAACAAGACAGGGTCTAATGGACACACATCAGCATTTAAGTCTTAAGAATTGACTAAGAACAGGCACAAGGTTTTATAACTACAATTCTTTTTAGACCAACCCTCTCCATGGGGTTTTTGTTGTGCGTTTGAATAAACAGCTCTATCGTTGACAGCTGCTGCTCCACCCACTTCTCTGGCTCTTCTGCTTTTTGAGGCACTGCACAAAAACACATAAAACATAGCTGTAAAACCCCCAATATTGCTGAGATCTGATGCTCTCGGTGTGCCACGCTGTGAGCCAAGAATCGAGAGTCACACACACTCACATTCAACAGGGAGGGTCCAGTAGTTTTTTAGTCTGCGGATGATGCGGTGGAGCAGATTTGGTCTAGGGAGCTTCTGAGTGGGGAGGTCAGGAGGCCGAAGCTTGGGAGCCAAGTAGGATACTGAAACATCCCGCGCCAGGGGCCACTCCTGAGGGATGTTTACCACAGTGTGTGGTTAAAATACATCAGCAGCTGCAAAATGATTAAACAGCCACGGATGACAACAAAACAGGGCAACACACAAAATGCAGCAACAAACCTTCTGAAGTCGTTTTAAGATCATTATAGGACACTAAGACTTCGCTGAAACCGAGACATTATTTTCAGTTAAGATTGATTGACTCAGTTACACCAAACAATAGTACTGATAAAAAAATCTCACCTTAAAAAGTCATAATTAAAATGTAAATAAATGAAATAATAAAATGTTTGAGTATTTTTCTCATCCCAGGGAAAAATGGCAGCACCCATCAGGTTTTGCAAATTTCAGATGTATTATAAAAGCCACTGTCTCAATATATTAGGTTAATAAGGCAAAAAAGAACATGCTTACCCTTAAAGTACAAAACCAATGCGCTGCACTTGTCTTCAATGGTCCGAGGTACCAATATCTGTTGGGAAATATCGTGGTTAATTATGCTTTTCTATGGGGATGCATGTCATGTTCATCAGGCTCAGCTAAAGTTACAATATAAATCGACCAGCTCTTACTTGCTGATTGTTGCAGCCACATCTCTAAAAGCACCCCAACGGAGTCCCATCAGAGCAAAGACTGGCTGCTCTTTCTCACCCTAGGGACACAATGCACATTAATTCCTGTCCAAGTACTGCCACAACATTTCCCATTGCTATGCAAAATCAAAATTCTGTTCATCAGGAAAGTCTGGACACTGTGCTGCCATTCCACCAGCAGCTGAATCCTGTCGTCTTGTTCCTTCCTTCTGCACAGATTGGAGGTGTTTTTTAGACCATTATCCTGCTATAGGATTAAAATCCTGAAAAGGTCAAACTTTGTTAATTACCTTCTTCCAAACAAGGCTTCAGAGGGTGTAGTAACAATGTTTTCCAACAATGCCTTTCTATAAATAGAATCTGTTGTTTTAAGTAACCAACAAAAGTTGGAACATCAGTTTTCAAGGATTCATTTACTTCTACTGCTGCAGAAAAGATAGAGGTTGATTTGTTACTTTGTCCCTGAAAAAAAGTCTGTTTTACATAAAATTTACAGACATTTTTAGTTTTTGTTGAATTTTTTGTTGTTTATTTTACCTCTGGCTGTTTACTTCTTAGCTTTGTACCATTTAAGGTTATTCACTGGACTTTAACTGTTTAAATGTCAAAACAAAAACTGGGAAAATTGGGGTGTTCTAAAATTTGACAAGTACATACACAGTTTTGCATTGCAGCACAATGACAACTTCAACACAAACACTAAGTACACCACTTTCTGGGTTTGCAGAGTAAACAGAACCAGTTTCTTACTTTAATTTGTAGCACATCCAGAGGTACTGTCTCTCCTTTCAGAATGGACAGGGTTGCTGATGTGATGTTTCTGATAAAGGAAGGAAAACAAGTGCAAGTTATTTATGAGGAAAACCACACTGTACCCATATGTGTATATTTAGTCAGTGAGAGACAGTTTACTCTGGGATTGAGTGGTGAGGGTGACACTGATGAACTACTTACTTGACCTTGTTGTCACTCAGGACGTGAAGACTTGGACTCAGGGAATTGTGAGAGCCCAGTGGAATGAACCCAATCGGCATATTACTGAATGTGTCCTGTAGTCAGAAAATAGCCATCAGTGAGATCATTAAAAGGCAACGTTTGATTAAGCTGTCATCATCTCAAATTGCAACTAACTAGAAACCAACTGTGCGACACCTACTTGATCTGGCCTTCGCAGTAAACCTGTGATGACTTCCTGCAGGGTGCCATCCCCCCCGGCCACAATCAGCATGTCTGTCTGTTCCATGAACTCCATCAGCTTTTTCGCCTGGCCTTCATAGTCTGTCTGTAGAGGAACATGCAAACTATAGTGACAGTGTCACTCAAATCCAGACTAGGGCCAACAACAACTCTGAAAGATTCTGAGAGAAAAGAGCAAATGATACCTTTACTACTGTAACTTCCACACCAGCCAGATGTAAAATAGGAGCAGCATTTTTTTCAAACAAGTTCTTAGCTTTCCTGTGAGAGAGTTAGACACGAAGTTGGAGCATTTCACAGAGAAAGTCCAAGCAAGACTGTTAGTGAGGAGCTGAAGTTTGTTTTCTTACCCATTACAAGCTGCAGGGTTCAAGATCACTGTTGCTTTCCTCAACTGCTCATGTGGTGCTATCTTTTGACGCCCAAATTCCTAGCGGAAATGATCATGATGATCAGAACCATAAACAATGAAGGAAAACCTTGGTCTATATGACAAGAAAGATAAGTGGTCTTACCCTGGCCACTAGACAAGCCTCTCTCCGTAGAACATTGTCACTAACAAGGTACAAGAGACGCATTTACAAGAACAGCCATGTGATCTATCCAGTCTGTGCAAATACAATAACTTGAAATACCCACCAGTGTTTTCCATACAGCCAGTGGCCTCCATAAGTCAGGACGCACACAGCAAATGTGGACTTTTTCCAGTGATTCCGTAGCGTTCGAAACACTTTAACCACCCGAGCCATGGCTGTGATTAAAACGCCCCTATGCTCTTTATTTTAGTACAACATTTATTACATTTCCATTCACAGCGGTCATAGACTGATAACCGCATGTACATTTTGGAGTAACGTCAAAACTGTCCGGAATAACACATGTCGGAACCATATGTACCATATGTGTGGTTCAATAACACAAAATAAAATAAAACACAATTATTGCTTTACCAAAGTATTGTGGCGATCTGAAAGTGACCAAGAGACCAGATTTTGTAATATAGTAAATATCAATCCAATCTCAAGGAAGCACATTTAAATTACTTCTTGATACACTCTTATACCGTTAAACTACAATTCCCATGTAACTAGAAGTCATAAACAGCTGGAGGACGTCGCCTGAAGAAATTAATCAGAATTACGACAATGATTAAATTATCCAACTGATTAAAATTTGCATCTATACACATTAAGGTAGACATAAATGTCTTGGTAAAACCAATTTAACTGGCGCGTGTTTACAAACTTTATATTTTTAAAATTTCACACCGGCACCGGCCTGGAAACTTCTGTCCACTTTCACGAGTGTATCATGGCGGCGCAGATGGCGGTAAATTCGGGTATGAACTGTATCTGTTTCATTAACTAAATTAGTTTCATTTATCTCTGGCAAAGGTTATTAATTGTTATTTCACAGATAAGATCGAACATATTTGCTTTTTAGCGCCACTTTTGTTTTATGTCCTATGTTTTGGCCAAATGTTGATGGTCCAGGCTCGGGCTGCTAGGCTAACTTAGCCTAGCCTGATAGTAAACGTTAACTTAGTTAGGTTAGCTAACTTTAGTATTAATTAAAGAATTACTGTTATCAGGCGGAACAACTTGGTTACACATAGTTCATTTTCACTGTAACACTAAAGCCATATGTGCAATCTGACTTATTTGACGTAAACAGTCGTCAAATAGTTGGCAGAGGAGTTTACTTATGTCGAAACAAAACTGAAACAAACAAAAATCTGTAATGTTAATGTTACTGGGTTTGTTTTGTTGCGCCACGCCCAGCTTTCTAGTAATTATATGTATTAGTATGGTCCAACCTTAAAGTTTAAACTAAATTTGCCTGTAATTTGTTACACTTCCAAGTCTGTGTCAATTGTTTATTGGCCCCGTTGGTCAGAATATCTTGTACATACCCTATGGATGATACTTGGTAACAGCCAGTGTTCAATAAATACAAAGTGTAATTGAATAGTGAGCCTGAAATAACATTTTTAAACATTACGGGTAAAGAAGCATGTTAAACTAATAGGTAGTTTTATATTGTTTTTTTTTTTTTTGTCTTTTTAATAATACTGTGAACTGTCCTGACAGAGGCATGTTACATTTTTTACAGATTATACAGTATTATTTATTATGACAGTCATGTATTGTGTATGGAATGGACAAATGCGTAATTCATTAGATATCAATGCCAAGGTGGTCATAAGAAATTAGCACAATGGAGGTGGTTGAAGTCACTTGTGTACATGTGTGTGTGATGAGACAAGACCTTTGAAGGCTCATATACTCATCTAGAAGCCAGTCTGTGGGGGCCGCTGAAGGAGCTGTGGGAGACAGTGGATGGGGCTGTGTTGAGGAGACAGCAAGAGAGCGTCCACCTCCTCGACCTGCACCTGAAAAAACACAAACCGCACTTTCTCTCACTCTTTAAGAACCCGGTGAGAGAAATATAGTCTTTGCACTATGATTTTATATGTGAATGTTAATATAGTATGAATTAGTATACAGTCTTGTATAACCTCAGACTTTCTTGGTGCAGATAGACTCAGTTGTGTGTGCATTGTCTTTTGAGACTATAAGTTCTGGTCTTCTCTTCACTTTCAGCCAAAGAGTGCAGAGCAGAGAGAGAAGGTGCGTAAAGCCAGCACAGAAGGCATCGCCATCCAAGGTCAGCAGGGGTCAAGACTCCTTCCAGAGCAGCTTCTGACAGAGGCCTTCATCCTCAGTGATTTGTTTGATATTGGGGAGTTGGCAGCTTTGGAGCTTCTATTGGCAGGTAAAGTGGACTTAAGAAAAGATTTAGAAGGAAAAGTATGCTTATATGTGGTGACCATGTGTTCTGTGTTAGACGTATAGCTCTCCCATAGGTTATTATTAGTGATGCACCGAAATGAAAATTCTGGGCCGAAACCGAAACCGAAAATTTAGGATGCATTTGGCCGAAAACCGAAACGAAACCAAAAATGGCTTCTTTTAAAAACTTCAAATTTTTAAAACACGCTTACTCTATAATTGTGTGTGTGTGTGTTGAATTCATCAAATTCAAGTAATTTTATATATATATTTATATTGTGACGATCTACGTCAGCCATTCGGGGGGGTGGCAGCAGCATGATGCCAAGGTGCATCGTGGG